CGCGCCTCCGCTTCTGAGGCCGCGCTGGGTTTGCGTGGCGCAGCTGCAGCCTCGCGCGCCGTTCCCTGCCGGCCCTGCTGGTTTCCTGGGCCTCTGCCCCAGCTTGGCAGGGCGGTTTCAAGTGTGGAGGCCCATCCAGGCAACACGTTCTTTCAGGGAAATGGTAACTGGAGGAATCTTTTCTGCTTTCCCTGGAAAGTGGCTTTCTGCGCGGTTACGGGAGAGGACGTGGTGTTTAGCTGTCTTGTTTCGATTGTATGACTTAATTCTGACTGAAGATTGAACCAAAATGCTTAGAAGGTCCATTACCAAAGGCGCGGAGTGGCATGTCATGCAGCACAAGTTTGCACTCGTGGTTGTGCTGCAAAAGCGTGTATCTGTGTCTCTGAGGAGATGTGCTCTGAAATGGCTGTCCTGGGCATTTGTGTGCTTACATAGCTGGAGTTAACAGCACTGGGATGAGGTGTTAAATACTCGTGTTGGCCAGTCCTGCTCAAGAATTGGCAATGTCTGCAGCGCTCTGTGCAAGGTTTCCAAGTATGCTGTGGAGCACATAGGTTACAGTAAGCCAGCACAGACAACACTTGTAAGCATGTCTAAAAAGAATTATTAATCACCTGTGATGCCAAGGGCGAGGGCTGGTTTACTGGTGCCTTTCAGGATATTCCATTTCTCCATTTACATTTAAAAAAACCCCCATATTTCTTACTATAACAATCCCAAAACGCTTGCATCAAAAATTAGATCAATAGACTATGTTCACATGCCCCGTCTGTGATATTGTTGTCCTACTCCAAATTAGAGAAAGCACTGGGGAAATAAAACGTTCTCTATTGAGTTTGCCAGACAAGCAAGACTGAGTCACAGCTTTTTTTTAAAGTTCCTGTATTGACTAGCATCCTGTCCTTGGGGGCTGAAGTATTTGAGGAGGGCCTCTGGCAATCCAAACATTCTCTGGTCATTAATAAAGCAACCTCATAGGCAGGAGAATCACACGTCTCAAATACCCAAAGTCACAGATGTGATAAAAAAAAAAAAAAAAAAAAAAAAAGGCTCACCAAGCAAAGGAAGGACCATATCTGCATTGTAAAGCTGAGGGCGATGTGTGCTGTACATCTTGGTGATCAGCATTCTTTTTTGTAAATTTAGGCATCAGATCAAAACACCTGTGAAATGATCTGGAAGATTTTATTATATCCCATGTGAAGTGGGGGTGAAAGCAAGCGAAAGATAAACTGGTGGAGGAAATACAGTCTCTTTCTCTCAAGTATTCAGAAACAAATTTTCAATACATGAATGTAAGCAGCAATCCAATTCTTGTCTTCAGTAATGCATGATGGAAAAATTAAAACACTAAAGACGCAACAACATACTTATATCTCTGGTTCCAGACATAAGAGAATTAAACATGTATGCAAAAATTCTAATCAGCCAAAGGGGCAGCGTCTTAGTGTTCAAGCTTTCTTACTGTAGAAGCTGAGGTATTTGAGGCAGGATTAGCAGGGTGGTTCTCAGATACCAGAGGGACAGACTGGTAGGATTTAAAGCCGATATTAGGTAAATGTATCATTTGGGAGCTAGCTGAAAACTAGTCTGAAAATCACGCAGCTGCAGTCAAGCTTCTGATAGTTCTCTTTTCGTGCAGCAGAAACTCTGTGCCATCAGCTCTCAAGAGCTGTTGTATTTTGCCAAAATTTTACCCTTACAGAAAAACCTTCAAGGAAATTGCAATTTTTCAAAATCTGTGTATTGAGGAGCACTGAGTAGCCTTCACAGTAATTTCTGTCCTGGGGGACATGCATACCTTCTCATTCATAATATATTTTCAGATTTTGGTGAATTGTTCTTAAGGGTAGTTAAAGGAAATACATCACTGATTTCTACTGAAGACCGGCAAAAAGTTAAAATTACATTCTCAAAGGCCTAAATTCCCTTCTGAACAGGGCTTGTGATGGGGTGTACTCCTCATCACTAATCAGAAGTTAGTTGAGTAGCACCCAATCAGCCTGACCTGCCATTTATTCCCACACTTTAGCAAGGTGCTAAGTTTGCAGCAACTGAAAAAGGCTACTAGGGAGTATCTCTGGGGAAAACCTGAGCTGTCTGGAGAGATGGAATTGCTGCCAAGTACACAAGGATCCTATCACTGTCCTGGAAACTGCACGTGTTGAGAGGCCTAGTTAATCTTACCAAGAGTACCAAAAGGGCTGCTGGAAGTAGCAGTTACTCAGCTGAGATGCTGGCTTATTATGTTTTATAGAACCAAAGGTTTTTGAGACCCACAAGCATCCTGTCACTGAAATGCTGAGGAATTCACTTGATGTTCTTTTTGTTTGTCTGGTTTTGTTTTTTTGTTTTGTTGGGGTTTTTTTGTAAGAACTGGGTCAAGCACCAGAACTTTTGAGGCAGGGACTACTTTGAGTCATTGGCATCCCTGGGCAGTGATATTTAATAAGATGATGAATTAGTAAACTAGTGAAGAGTAGGTTTGCAGACTTACAGGAGTTACCCTCTTTTTTTTCTGCCTTGCAGTATCATTTTCCTAAGCCTGTATCTGTTGATTCTCTGACACAATCTCAGTTCAGGTCAGTGCTGGGAAAACAAGGGAAGTATAGAGTCCAAATTCAGCACGAAAGGTGGCCTGCCTAGGCAGATGTGTACATAGCAAATGCAGAACCAGGCTGGTGATGAAATTATACCCTGTGGTACTGCACATATGTACTTACTTGCACGTATGTGGGGTGGATTGGTAATTGCTGGGTGCAAAAGCTTGCATCCTTTGTGAAGTGAATAACCTGAACCACTGCAGTGATCTCACCCAATGCTGCCTAAACTGTCTTCTGCATGCTGATGATATGAACAAAAGCCATAGTACTCCTCTAAGTGTTTGTACAAACATTCCAGCACCTGGTGTGTGACTCCTACGGTATGCCGCAGGCTGAACTGAAATTAAACCCTTCTGGATCTGGATCTTTGAGCACTTTGGATAAACTAGCTTTAGTACAAAGCATTTTTTGCGAAAACTAGGTCTTATCTGGGAAGCCTGATTCAAGTTTTGATCAGTTCTTAGTGGCTGCTGTTGCAAGATGATTTCTGTCCAAATACAAAACTATTGTGTTCTCAGTTAACCAGCTGTGCAAGTTCTCACAGCAGTTGAGATGAAGGGAGGAGGATACTCGACAGCATGTTTTAAAATACTGTAGCATCCAGAGTATTTGTAGCTGTCCTGAAATTTCTATTAAGTATTGTGCTTAGCATAGTTATGCTGGACAAGCATTTTTAATAGGTTTCTTTTGATAGTCCAATTCAAATTTTAATGTGGGCAAGCCAAATAGCAAGGTCTGTTTGTTGTTAGTTGGCATCCTCTTTCTGGCAAAAGTTTTAAAACTGTCTTTGAGAGTATGTCTGTGTGAAGTGAAAGAAGCTGGTTGTATAAAAGCACTGTGGACTTTGTGATGGCTTAGTAGCAATGAAACATTCACCCCAAAGCATACTTTAGTAATAGTTGTTTCTGCACTTGAAATTCTGGAAGTGCCTACCCTTAAGAGCTTTGATACAAGAGATCTGGGGTAGTTTCTAAGAACAAGGGACTGCATTGTGCAGCAGAACCAGTATACCTGCAGTGCATGTGATAGCTCATACACTTCATGGAGGAAAACTGTATACTTTGCATATTTATGCTGGCTCTAAACTGAAGAATTTTCTGCAACCAAATATTGTTGCAGTTGTGAAACATGCGGAGTTATTACTGCATGGTAAGCTTTAAAATTCTGTGATAAACTGTTCATGTAATGTAATCTCTTACTTACTGCTGAGAGGACCCAGTAGTTTAAACATAAATCAATCTTTCCATGAAAGGAATAATTCAT